AACAGTAGGCATTTAAAGTTCCCGTAAGTGTTAACCAATCCTCGTACGATGATCCATGATGACAGAAATCTGATTTGCTTCCCTCCTGCTGTCTCTTCAGACAGAAAAGATCAATATGGTCAAGAGACTCTTTCTTTCAATTACCTGGAAAATCTGTAAGGATATATGAAAAGTTGCAATAAGCAATAACCTGCTGAGATGCGTATGTCTTGTGAGAGTTACGTGACAGGAATTTGTATCCTAAAGCACAAAAAGACCACCCTATTCATTGAGGTAACTTAAATGCCAGATTTGGTAGTTGAAAGCTAACTTTCAGTTACTGGTAAATAAATAAGCAAGATTTAATTGGTGGAGAGTGTTGAAGCTTTGCCTGAAATGGCTTCCTGAACATCTTAACTAATGCTTGCTTTGTTTGTTCTGCTCGAGATGCTACCACGCACTATTCAATCAAAGCCAACTACTACTCGAACATTCGAAATTTTCACGACTCTAGTGGGACGCCGCAAGGGTCATACTGTGGAAGGGTTTTATGAGCTCAAACAGTTTCTCAAGAAACTTCGTTACTTGAATTACTATCATACAGGCAACAATGGACACAAACATGGCAATGATAATGAGTTCGATGACCATTTGGAGTCTGCTATACGTAGGGTCCAACCCCATGCATTTGGTTTTGACCGATTAAAGTTTCAAAGTTTTTCGTTTTTAATCGAAATAGAAATAGAACCCTACATATAAAAGTATAAAAAAAAAAAAGGATAAAAAGAAAAAAAAGGAAGAGAGAGTTATTAATTGAATAGATGTCGATTTTTTGTTTGATTAAGTTAAAATTTTATTATCATATTCACGATTTAATATTTTACATTTTGAATGTGGTTATTGAGTTTGAAATTTTTTATAAAAAAATTAATAGTGTATTTATTAAGTTACTTATTTTATGAGATTTCTTTAATTATCTCTTTAGTTGTTAATTAACTCTAGTTTTATCTAAAAAAAAATTTTGTATATCAATTATTTGATAATGGAGATTTTTCTAATAGTCCATAGTTTTTTCTTTTTACACTAAAGTATTTTTCATATAAATATTGGTGTGCTTTATTTTTCTATATTGTTGATTATTGATAATTGTCTATTACTATGGGTTTATTACGATATATTACTTTTGTATTGTTGTGTTTGTCACTTCAAGCCCAATAAGTGATATCAAAGCACTATTTATTTTTTAGATATCGATACAAAAGCAACTTAAGATAAAAGTAAATTATGTTTGAGATTATGAAGGATAATATAGATTCTATGATAAAATTAACAGCACCAAATTATTCAATTTGAAAGCCTATGAAAGATATCATTTATACTGCAAAGACTTATATGAGTCGATATTAGATGATTCAGCTAAACCAACAAATATGAAAGATAAAAGCTAAAAGAAGCTAGGTAAAAAGACGCTGGCCACAATTAAAAAATGGATTTATATCAGCATGTTCCATCATATAGCGTAAAGACAGATATCTACATCATTTGAGAAAAATTAACAGCATTCTATAAGAAAAAGACAGGCATTAATAAAGCTATATTTGTTAAAAAACTTGCAACTTTACAGTACAAAAATGAACAATTGATTACAAAGCACTTGAGTGATTTTCAAGATATATTCAATCAAATGACTACTATGGAGCTTAAAAAGGATGATAAAATAAAGACATTATTTCTTTTAAGTTCATTGCTAGACAACTAAAATGCTTTAGTTATGATTGTTCTTAATTCAACTCTTGACTATAATATGACATTGAAGATGGTAAATGATAGTATTCTTAATGAAAAAATAAGACAAAAAGATTCAAACTCTGAGAATCAAGCTCTTGTCACAGAGAACAAGAAAAAGTCATAGTAAATCTAAAGATAGATCCAAGTCTTAAAATAAAGCGAAATGCTAACATTGTGGTAAACCTAGTTATATAAAGTGAAATTGTAAAATCTTGAAGCAAAAATGAAAAGATGAAAAAGGTAGGAATTCAAATGATGGCAATATTACAGTAGTAAATTCAAAAAGTAATTCAGTTATTTTGATTTGTACACATGGTGATTGTAATCATATTAATAATCCCAGCATTTAGTGGATAGTTGACATAAAAGTGGCATATCATTTTGTTCCTAAGATGAAAAATAAAAGTGTGTCGCAGATTGTTAAGATCATTGATATTGTTATACAAACTAATATAGGTTACATGTTAATTTTGAGAGATGTCAAACATATTTCGAATATAATAATGAATTTATTTATGATCAATGTCTTTGATAAGGAAATATATGAGAGTCGACAAAATAATGGATAATGAAAGTTTCTCTAAAGATCTATGATAATTGTAAAAAAAAAACTATGCTACACAATATACAAGACATGGATACAATTGAACGGCAATTAGATAAATGCTGTTGAGAATGATGTTTTAGCAAATATGTGTCACAAAATGTTGGCACACATGAGTGAGAAGGGGTTATAGGTTTTGGTAAAACAGTCTCTCATTTTCTTGATCAAAGATATGTCTCTTGATTCATATGATCATTGTTTGCATAGCAAGCATTGTAGAGTTTCTTTTCATAAGCATGAGAAAAAAAATAAATTAGAATTGATTCATTCTGATGTATGTGATCCCATTTAAATTAAGTTATTGTGTGGTAGTAGGTATTTTATTACTTTTATTAATGATACTTTACGTAAAACTTGAGAGTGTATGTTGAAAAATAAAAGTTAAGTATTGTAGTATTTTTAAAAATTTCATGTCATAGCGTAAAGGATGACAGGGTTCCCTTTGAAATGTATTTGGACTGATAATGGTAAAAAAAACACATCCAAAAATTTTGAAGAATATTATTTAAAGTATGAAATTAGGTATGAGATGACAAAACCTGAAACGCTGCAACATAAATGGTGTAGATAAAAGGATAAATCGTACCATTATGAAAAAAGTCAGATATATGCTAAGGATGACAAAATTATTAAAGTCATTAAGGGATGAAGCAATTAACATAACATGTTATTTGCTTAACAAATCATTATCAATTTCTTTAGGCTTTGATATTTTAGAAAGAGTGTGGACAGAAAAAGATGTTCCACACTCTCACTTGAAGATTTTTTGATACAAAGTATTCATGTATGTACTGAAAAAATAGAGGTCAAAGTTTGATAGTAAAACCATATAGTGTGTGTTTGTTGAATATGGTGATGAGAATTTTGGCTACAAGTTATGGGATCCAATGAAGAGAAAAATAGCCAAAAGCAAAGATATGATCTTTTATGAAAAAAAAATTATAGCAGACCTTGAAAAAAATAAGAAAATTACACGAGTTACTGTTGAATGTGATGTTTCAACACTAACAAAAGTTCTATAAAAAAGAATCACAAATGATTGAAATGAGCAAGAGACAAAACTTGAAGATACGAATGAGCCTACCACAATTAGTGATGAACCAAATGTAACCAGTTTTAAGCAAGAAAAGTAATCATCTCTACCAAAAAGTGTTAAGTAGGGAGAGTTACCTTCGACATCAGTAGTCAAAGTCTTAACCTAAGAGATATACCAAAAAGCACTGGCCATTTACTAAGTATCCAAGTTTAAATTTTATTTTAGTTACCAATAAGAATGAACTAGATAGCTATTAAGATGTGTAGACTACTCCCGACATAGAGTACTAGTTAAAACTAATAAAAAAATCATTGCAAAAAAATTATACATATGATCTTATTAAACTTTTGAAAGATAAAAGGTCATTAAAGAATAAATAGGTGTTCAAGCTGAAAAAAGATAGTAACAAACTAGTACAAAATGTTTTTGGTAGTGAAAGATTTTTCTCAGAAACATAGCATCAATTTTGATGAGATATTATCTCCAGTTATGAAGATGAGTTTTATTCAAGTGATACTGATATTAGTAACTAGTTTAAATCTTGAGCTTGAACAACTTGATGTCAAGATTGCATTCTTGCATAGTGACTTGCAAAAGGTGATTTATATGAATCAACCAAAGAGTTTTGAAGTGAAAGGGAAAGAATACTTAGTTTGCAAACTGAAGAAAAATTTATATAGCTTAAAATAAGTTCTTCGATAGTAGTATAAAAAGTGTGATTCTTTTATGGTGAGTCACAACTATAAAAAAATAACAACGGATCTTTATGTGTATGTCAAAAAAATTTTGATAATAACTTAATTATTTTTTTATTATATGTTGATGATATGTTGATTGAAGAAAAAGACATTGGTACAGTTTATAAGTTGATAGAATAATTATCTAAGTACTTTGACATAAAGAATTTAGGTCTAACAAAATAAATTCTCATTAAAGATATTATCTAAGATAAGAAAGTTATGGTTGTCACAGAAAATATATGTTGAACAAGTGCTTAATAGATTCGACATACAGTATGCTAAATCATTTAGCACTTCATTTGTGAACCATTTTCATTTGAGTAAGAAATTTTATCCGGTGACTAAAGAAGAAAAACTAACTATGTCTAGTATTCGTTATTCTTTTACAATCAATTCATTGATATATCTTATGGTTTACGCATGACCTGACATTGCTCATGTAATTGGTGTAGTAAACAAATTTCTTTTTAATCTGAAAAAGATTTACTGAAAAACAGTAAAATAAATTTTTAGATATTTAAAAGACAACTCAAAAATGTGTTTGAGTTATGAAACTACACAACTAGTTCTTGAAAGGTTTATTAATGCAAACATGACAAGTGACTTCCATAGTAAAAAATCTACTTCATTATATTTATTCACTTTTGCAGAATGAGTTGTCATGACAGTTTAAGTTACAAAAATATGTTGTCTTGTCAATTATAAAAATTGAATATATTGTAGCAATAGAAGCAAGTAAAAAAATGCTTTGGATAATACGTTTTTTTCTTGAATTGGAATTGAATAAAAAATAATATATAATATTTTATGATAGTTATAATGCTTTAAATTTGGATAAAAATACCATGTACTATGCTAAAATAAAGCATATTGATATTAAATATCACTAGCTATATTTGGTAATTGAGGAGCAATAAATGTAGTTAAAGAAATTTCATACTGATAAGAATGTAACAGATATGTTAACTAAACACTTTCCAGAGAAAAGCTTGAACTCTGCAATAACTTAATCGGAATGAATTATTTGACCAAGATAAGTTCTAAATGAAACTGCTATGATGATAAATCTCCTCTTAATGTGGTTAGAGGAGAAGATTGTTATACGAGGTCTAACCCTATGCTTTTGGTTTTGACCAATTAAAAACCAAAACCATTTGTTTTTAACCGAAATAGAGTCCTGCATAATAAAACTGTGGGGCTGTGTTTTTGGCATGAAAGAGTGGTGATGAAAACCGAAAAAGAAAAAGGAACCAAAAAAGATAGAGAGAAAAAGGAGAAAAGAGAGTTGTTAGTTCTATAGACATCAATCTATGGTTTGATTTAAGTTGAAATTTTATCAGCACATTCACGATTCAATAATCTATATTCTAAATGGTGGAGATCAGGTATTAAACTATTTCTGTTTAATAGTTCTGCTTTCTTCGCCTTCTTCTCATCCTTAGTCTTCTTGATCCTCTCCTTGATTTCACTGCAGAATCAATAAATTATTATATATTAACTCCAGAGTCCAGACTATGGATTTCAAACCATATTGGTTTCTCAAATAATATAAGGTTTGACCATTGGAGGCCTGGACTTTTACATAATAATATGGGTTCATACAAACTCATGAAGGTAATAAAGAGCAAGCTAAACAAATGGAATTAGCACTATTTATTACTGCATCTATCGTAGCTAGGTAAGCATGATTTTAGATAAAATAAAAGAAAGCATACCGAAGAGCAGCTTCCCTGGCAGCATCTCGCACTTCAGGTTTCTCAGTTCTCTTTTTCTGGATTATCTCCAATGTAGCTCCAACAATGGACCTAGAATAAGGTTTCTTAGTAGTACGACGCCTTTTTTTCACAGCTTCTGCGGCTATATCCTGAAATTTATTTCACATAAAGAATGAAAATGAGATAACTTGAACACATGTCAAAGTGATAGCGGAACTCCAAACAACAAAATACAGAATAAGGAGCTTCCACCTTCTTATGTTGCTTTCTGTACATAGCTGTCCAAGTAAGCTTCGAAGGCTTCAGTCTGTTGTGGAAGTACCTCTTGCATTTCGAGTTTGCAAACAGGAAGACCTAGAGAATTGTTTTATCAGCCTCAAACAACAGCCCAAATAACCACCTCCCTTTCAAAGTAAAACCCAATCAGAAGATAACAAGAAGGGAAACCTCTCTGTCCTAAAATTACCGCCCAAGTTGAGTTACCTGAGAATCAGATCTAACAAATCCGATACCCTTACCAGGGCATATCTTTGCACCACTAAAGCGGCAGAGTTCAGTCCTAAAACACCAAAACCGAATTTCACAATCAGAATGCAGCTGTGCAATTGCTTACATACTGAATTCAACCAATGGCATAATAAAAGCAGCTCAATTGTCAAGGGCAATAACACATGATTTCATTTTTACAACCACCAAACGTAATGGAATGAGAAATTTTTCAAGTTCATAACACTTAAAACGCTATAGCAGACACTCAATAAAGCATATTTGGCAAGTTCCATAATAAGTCCAAGTTCAGCCACGCTAACAGCAGTTCTCGAGCTTAAATCCCATATTTACCGATACCCAGAACAGATTACACTACTTATTCCCATTATTTCCAATCTTAATAAAAACAAAAAGAAATTGACTAAGAAAACATATAAACAAAGAGAAAGAGAAAAATAAATTGTATCAATAACATCATATCAACAACCAAAATGCTATATACTCAAATTGTTACAAACTCAGTAACCAAAAGCCCCAACATCGGGCAGCTTAGAAAATGAAAGAAATCCCAAAAGGGGAAAAAGAAAACAAAGTGAAACTTCTACGTCAGTTTCCCATTTCGTTTTCCATCATTTTCTGGGAAAAACAAACAAATGGGTAAGAAAATAAAATGGAAAGGAACTTACTTGAGAACCATGGTGGCTGTTGTTGACGTTGTGGTTGCCTTGGCCGCTTATTTTCCTCGCATAACCCCTATTTGACACCCTAAATAGAGAAAGGACTAAAGAAGTAATTAGAAAATTTGCAATAAAGTCCTTGTTGTATGTCATAATTATAAGAATAGCCTCACTTATTTTTTCTCTGTAGTACCCCAAGTTATTTTATAAAAATTATCACAAACCCGTTATATTTTTTAGATGTCACGTCTTTTGGTAAGATAGGGCAGCAAAAAAAATTTTTACTTACATTTTAGTTTTTACCCGTCTTTTTTAGTTTTTTTTTTAATTAAAGGATGTTGAAACTTATAATTTTTTATTTTTTTTAGTTATTAAAATTTTAAATGAATTAGTTTATTAAATGACAAAAAATTCTTTTTTTTTTAATAAAAGTTAAACTATAAACAATGTTTTACAATCATTTTATTAACTTATATCAAATCTGTCCATTTTAATAAAATTTGTCATGTGCATGAATTCTCTTATTAAATTGAATTTTGAAAATATTCTTTCATTTTTTTTATTTCGTTTGACAAAAAATAATAGTCAGAGGGTTCATTTAATCGACTCAAATAAAAAAGTTTAGTCTTAAATGACAATGTTTTCTACTGATTGCAGCCTTTTTTTTTATGATTATCACTTGTCTATATTGCAAATGATTAGCGGTCAAAAAATTGTAGATTTTACATAATATACTTTTATTTTTTGCAGCCTTGAGGCTGATTAGAGAGGAACTAACAGTCCAACAAGTATCAGTGAGCATATCCTGGTAGCTTGCCAATGAATTCCAAAACAGCTTTGGCTGTATTTACTGCTGCAAGATACCCAAATATTCCAATTGCATTCTTTCCTTGTTGTCCTCCAGCTAAATCGGATAGCCCTCGAATCACAATCACAGGGAAGCCATTTGACAAGCTTGTCTGAAAAAAAAACACCATTGTTAGACAGACAAATCTATGTTTCCCCAAAGGCATTAACCAAGACATCCAGTCTAATCTTTACCCTCACTTGATCAAATTTTGCTTGCAAGAAGCCAAGAACTGTTACAACAGTTATCAGTAGGAAAGAAGAAACTTTACCATTACTACAGCTGCACTCTCCATATCCACTGACGAAATATGAAATGTTTGAAAAAGAAAGTCCCTGTATGCTGCATTGTCCAGAAAAATGTTTGCTGTCGAGGCCCTTAGACCAACAACTAACTTGGGCTTTTGTGGTAAGCACAAGCTTGAATTTACACACTGCTCTAGTTTCAAATCCTGGTGCAAGGTTAAGGATACAAAAAAGACATACACATAACATAACTTTAGTGAGTAAAAGTTGCAAACCTGTTAACAGAAGTTAGATTTCTAAATTAGACGTTTGCTTTGCATAACTTGTAATCAATTTTTATCACTCATCCCTTTAATATGTTGTATGTTGATTTCGTGAAAGTTTTCATTATTTGCTCAAAGTTCTTATGTATGGATGGGGAGTCAAATTCCTTCCTTCATTCCATCAAGAGGGCAACATGACTTAAACATGTCTTTTTCCTTTTTGGTCCCAAGCCTACCACTTCAATAAGGCTACTTTGGTTATAAGAAATGACAGGAAAAAGTTTTTCTTTCTTTCTTTTTTTTCTTTGGTCAAGTTGATTTCAGTAGGGGCCTTTAATTTGCAACAAGAGTTGCTTACATATAGCCTAAAATTATAGCTAGAAAAAGGCGTTGATAAACTAATAAGAAGAAAAAAGAAGGTATCTAACCCCAAAGTTGGAAGCAAGCTGAAGCCAGTGTGGAGTTATTTTTGTCCAAACAACAGACTGAGCAGTATTAGGGGTTCCTGACTCTGAAAAATATTGCTCTTTACGATATCCGATATGCCCTAAGAGATTAGTTCCATTTGCTTTTGGAACATTGAAGCTTCCAATGTCCAGTTGAGCAACATCATCCTCGTCCACTGTCCCATGCGGGTTCTGTTAATAGCAAAGTTATAGGTTATAGCTGAAATTTGCCTTAAAAACAACACTAGCAACTTCTAACATACAGAAAAGGATTGAAGTTAATTATATTTATAGTCACTCATACATACCACCCAATCCCAAATGCCAGTATGTGCAACTTGGCTGGGAATGCTAACATCTCCAATGGACATAGAGTTATTTGCATTGCCAGCAATCCCGAAATGGATGATTCCCTTCACGTCAAATAGGTCCAGCATTTGTTGTGTTGCAGCAGCTGCATTAACCTGATCAAGCTAACAGTAAACAATGAGTTGGAAAAGGGTTGCAGGTGCAGGGATTTAAACCCCAGACCTGGATGCCACCCCTTAAGGTGGTTACGTAAACCTACTAAGTTAAGCTCCGGGTTCATATATAGTGTTAATTGAGGTGCAGTCAATGATTTCTAACTCTTCCTATGGGATAAGAAGATCGACAAGTGAATTCAGATGTATCAACAGAAACTAAAAAGGTTGTAGCCTACCGTTCCAACACCACATCTGACATAGATGACTTTCTTTCCATGAAGTTTTCCTATGCGAAACCTTCTTCCTGCAACATCCAGAAGTCTTTTGTAACTTACAAAACAAGAACAAAAAACTTTTGAAAACCCATCAAATCAAATCCGATGAAGAATTGCTTACCACATAGATCAAACAAAAGGGTGCTTGGGATCAGGCTTGAAGGACACTGTGGCAAAAAATGCTTTCTCCTCGGTAGAAATCACTGTGATGAGACCAATATATGGCCCTCTACGGTTCAGTTCTTTGATTATTTTCAAAGAATTTTTCCTATTATTCAATACAGCTGAAACACAGACATGTACTGACAAGATCAAAACAAGCAGCAAACTTGGTTTAACATGTTTTGCAGCCATTGTTTGTTAGTCTAAGCTCAAAGAAGGTCCCGGATACAAGTTCAGTCAGTCAAACAGTGCCATCAGTGGATTATAACATAATGTTGAGTGTTGACTGCATCTTCAATTTGAAAATTTAATCTTTTTGAATAGAAGACTTGGGCCTCCAATTAGATTTTCCAGTATTTGAGCATCTAATTTTTTGTCAGTCAAAGAAATGACTCAATAATTTGGCAATTTCAATATTAAAACAAACAAGATACAACCAATAAAACAGGAGATCTTCTAAGGCAAAATTAATCATGATTAAATTATACTAATTTAATCATGTCAAAATTTTCAAAATTGGATTCAATCGTATTAAACTATCTAATTTAAAACCAATTAAAATGAGGCGTATGATTTTATCCTACCATCTTCAAGAGACTAACAAGTATGGAATATCAGATCTAAAATTAATTGAGAATGAACATAAAATCTCAACTTAAATATTAAATAAAATTGATAAATTAAAGATGTTTGGGTCATGTAAATGTAAGAAGAATAAGAGCTAAGACAGCTTGCTTGCCATTGCGGTGAAAGAAAGAGAAAAAATTTTATGAGACGATTATTCCGCGTTATAATATGTTTTTTTTTTTTTCTATGGATAGTGACTTATTATCGTTGTAAGAAAGGGAGTGACATTATCTCCCGAGGATAAGATAAGAATAAGAGTTAAGACAGCCTACTTGCCACAGATTGTCTGGAACAGACCAGTATGTTTTTTTTTTTTTTCTCCAAATTATGGTACGTAATTATATATTATAATTAAATAATAAATATTTATTTTAATAAGTTCATACATGCAATAAAAAATAAATGATTGATTTTTTTAATAATGTAATTTTATAATATGATTCGAAAGAAAAAATATATGCTAACATGAGGTACACATTTCAGATACATCGATGGGATGGGGGAATAAACAATCAAATTCTTGAGTGCAAATACAGTGCTGAACGATTCAAGTTTTGTAATATTAGCCAAAAAACAGGAAGAATGAAAAAGGAATCCAACTCAAATGCTACAAGATTTACATGGAAATATTTCACCAGCATTTTGGAGTTTTAATTTTTCTGAACGGCAATCATCTTTCATTGCCGAAAAGAATTTCATGAAAAGAAATTTTCATCAATGGCTGGTAACATCTACTTTCAATACATTAATAACATGCAATTCACAGCAAAACCCCTTCACCTTTCGTTTTTTTGCCTGTTAAAACGGTATTTCAGATTATACATTCATTGCATATAAGGCTTGAAACAGGTAAGAACAGCCTCATTACATACCGATTCTACAAAAGAGGGGATGAAAGCTTAATATGAACCAGCAGCAGCCTGCACCAGGAGACAGCTGAATCTGAAAACTCTTGAGCTGCTTTCATGAAATAAATAATTGCTTTGCGGTGTCAATTGTTTAATAGTTCCAAACTTCCTCTATAATATCAGAATGTCCAAAGAATGTGGTGCTTCATGACAATGAATAAAATCACTTCACCGGTTTTGAAGGCCCTCAATCACCTTTTTCCACTGCCATGCTCTTTGCTTTGCATCATCGAATGACAATACCTTCTTGGGCTGAAGAAGCACAAATATAGATCAGAAAGTGAAACAGCCAATGAAAAACAAGTAGAAAGAATGCAAAATTTAAGTTCTCTTTCCTTAGCTACCAGCATGCTCTAGAATTATTTAATAAAAAATGGTTGTAACCAACCATTGAACATTAGACAAGTCAGCTATATAAGAAACAAAACGAATACAAAGCACCAGAGAGCATGTAATTCCAGATTTCTAGTATCATTCCACTAATAAGTTTGAGGAATTCATTTATATCCTAATAGGATATGCTCACAGACTTACCGTGCAAATCTTGAAGTGCGATGGGCTTGTGACCTGGACACTGAGGTCGTTAGAATTGTCAGACCAAATAATGTTCCCTTTCACGACCAATTTTGAAGGATCAACATAAATCAATTTTGGCTTGTTGGTGAGGATAAGCTGCACCTTCTTGCTCGATAACTTCTGTATTTTCTTTACCATTGAGATCATAAGAACAGATTCTCCAGGATCCAAAAATTGTTGCCTGATTACATGATGCAATACATATTAGATAAGAAGTGTAGTTAAGCCAGCCCCAATCCAGCAAAGGAAAAAGAAACGACAAACATTAAGGCTCCATTTGGTTGGAAGGAAAGAAAAGGGTAAGGACAGAAAAAATTAATTTAATGGTTGAGCTACAAAGTAGCACATGTCATGAAGCTCAACCATTAGATAAGAACTTTTTCCTTCCTTTTTCTTTCCTTCCTACCAAACGGAGTATTAAGACTCAGATTACAAACTGCAAAATTAGTATATAACACAACGATCTCCTATCAAATGATTCACAGTGGAATAGGTTTTGAGAAAATAATGCTCAATCTATAATTGTTTCCCCAAGTAGCAAAAATGGACAAATCAATGATGTACCTAAACATTAATAGGTTCTACAAGTCCACAATGGACAAGCTTGCAAGCAAAAGTCATGTCCTTTCAAATGGTTAGAAAATAACAAGAAATATTGACAAATACCATTTTGAGTCAAAGGAATCAATTGAAGCAAGTCTAGTTATATGGCCAGATGATTCAGCTGATGATGAGGCACCAACATTTCCATCATTCTGACCGGCTGAACCATCTCCAGTGTGCCTAGGATTCCATGAAGAATCATTATGATCATCACCGTCACTTGATTGAGCCTGAAATTAATAGATAATAATATTATTATTATTTTAAAACTCTCAAAAGACAGGATACCAAGGGAAGTTGGTTTCCATCATAAACAATGATTGAAAGCATGCTGCCATCATACCCCAGTCTCTAAAGCAAGCTTCGGAGGGGTTTCTGCTCTTAAATTACTCCAGTCAACTCCCCTAAAGAAAGGATGCATCTTGAGTGCAGCATAACCATCAGGTCCAGCACCTGGTCGTCTACTGGGATCTAAATCCTGCACCATAGTTGAATTACAATTCTAAGGCTACAACTTGTTACTCATAAGTTAAGATCATGCATGATATAAGATAACCTGAACCGAAAAGGCGCAAAAGAAATAAAGATGGATGTACATGACTCTGACCCTGTCCAAAAAAGAAATTACAAGAAAAATAATTTGTGGTTTCACTACAAGATTACAGCCTCTGAATTTCTATCATGATTGCTCATTTTAAAGAAGGGAGGGGATGGGAATAGAGATAGGGGAGAAGGAGCAAAAGAGGAGGTAACTAAAAGGATAAGGGCAAATGGAAAGAAGAAGGGAAGGTTCAATATTCAAACTGGCAATAGGAAAATGGAGAGAAATTAAACGGTTCATGAATAATTTCTCAATTAGGATTCACCATTTCCACTGTGACCTTACCATGAGCATTCCTATAGGCTTATTTTCTATACTACACCTCAAAAAACGAATAAATAAAGAACCTTAAAATGTAGACACAAATCTAGCAGGAAACTTTCAGATGAGCTGTCCATAGAAAATACTACAAAAGAACAACAAACAAAGTCTCTATTATAATATCCCTTAAAATAAATAAAACAATTATAAAACTTTATGTAAAAGTTTTATAAACAAAATCATATTCATTTCTTACTTACTAGGAAACTGAAAAAGAATACTCCATAATCTTTTGCAACATTTAAAAGGAAGAAAAAGAAAAAGATCACATCATTTTTAACCATGCAAAAGATTATATTCTTTTTGCATATTTCCTGATAAGTAAGATATTACTCAAAAAATGAGAGGAAAACCTTAGTATGCAGGAAATATATAAGATACAACATAGGGGAGAAAAGGAACAAAGCCTAAGAGATAATACATCCAAAAGTCTAAATAAGAACTAAGAAAAGCCCAAATTAGTTGCAGAGAGGTGGGAGGCACCATGAGATTAGCTTCATAGAAATCAATTAGCAGCATGCCTGCAAATAATAGGCACAAACACATGCATCAAGTGTTTCAATTTTTTGATTGGAAGATCCGCCTAGCAGAGCAGTCAAATGAGGAGATTATTTAATCACTGTAAATAATTTCGTAGACCTCTAGCAAGGTCAGCTAGCAAATTATATTTGTTCTGAGATTGCAGAGAAAGATATGCTTAGGACAAACTAAAGATACACAGAAACCAGCAGCAAATTGATGCCAGGAGATATTTTCCTCTCTAACCAGTATCTCATACTATGTGGTTTCCTTCTTCTTTTTTTTTTTTTTCTCCCACTTACTGTGTGGTTTCCTTTGAAAACTTGTCTCAAAACTGACAAATCAGATTGACCAAATGTATATTAGTTACTGAGCTGCTTTTATTCTGTCATTTTCCATCATAAATGTACAGAAACAAATACAATATGCACCTAATAACAGAAATAGATAACAAGAACAACTTCAAAAAGTCTTAAGCATACAAGTTTATCGATGTATAGCATATAACAACTCCAACATGCAGAAAATTGTAGCTCACCAATAAGCAATCAATAAGGTCTCTGGCTTCTTCAGAAAAATAATTTGGAAATCTTATATCTCTGGCTATAATTCTTTGAAATATAAGCCATTCACTCGCATCTTTAAAAGGAGAAGTCCCTGAAAGCATTTGGTACAAGGTGCAGCCAAGTGCCCAGAGGTCATTTCTGTTTGAATATGTTCAAAGAACAAACTAGTTATCCAATAAACAATAGATGAACAAGATCAAGGAAAACAACTAAGCTAAATCACAAGTTTTTACACTTGAATATCTGGGAAACCCATGGTAGGGAAAAAAGGAAAAAAAGAAGAGAAGGAAGAGGGGTTAAAGAGGAAGAAAAAATTAACAAAATAAAAAATAAAAAAAAAACTCTACAATTAGTTGTAGCAAGCTTAAGATTCCATTTCAAGTTTGACAATTTTAATCTAGATTGTGAGACAAACTCATGAAGAGAGTGAAGGTCTCTTACCCAAAAGTTGCCGGAGAAGAGTTTAGGACTTCAGGAGGAACATATGCAGCTGTCCCCACAAACGTGCATGCCTTATCATCTGGATAGAGCAACAGAGACAACCTTAGCCTTAAACTTTTTTTTTTTTTTTGGGGGGGGGGGGGGGGGTGAGGTGGCGATTAACATGATAAAATCATGATTTTACCTGAGGATGCATTAGGAAGGACTGTAATTCGGCTATCCTGCATGGGCTTTACACTACCAAAGTCAGCAATCTTAATATGCCCATCTGTAGTAAGAAGCAAGTTCTCTGGCTGCCATGTAGCAACAAATGTAGCAAGTTAGTACTATTCAAATGTTAATGTAACAGAACCTGCATGCTAGGAAAATACCTTAATATCTCTATGTATCAATCCCATGTTGTGTATGTATTCAAGAGCATCTACAACTTCGGCAGCATAGAAGCGAGCTTCATCCTCTGATAAACGACCTTTCTGCACAAAATTTAACCAGATGGTTGATACTGAACCACAAATAAACTAGCAGAGTTAGGACTAAGTGCTAAATCACAACAATAAAGTTTGAGCACAGGAATATTCTGGCATTCAATACTGTAACTAGGGATAGAAGGGGTTGACAACATTATGCAATGAATTTTAAAAAGCTTCAAAAGTGGTTTTTGAATAGAAACTTATGATCATACATAAAGAAATATACATGACTATCCCAGATTTATTATTAATTTGACGGGAAAATAGGAAACACATATACAATGGAAAATAACATTCACCAGATTCAATAATAATTCCTGGAGCAACAAATTCAATACCAAACAACTCAATCATATGCTACCAGAAAAAACCTGCCACAAGGCACACCCTTTTTAGTGTGAAAATTTTCCATAACCATATAGGATCACATGCTAAGAGTAACTTACTCGTGTTATTTGGTCAAAAAGTTCTCCACCTTCACAGGATTCAAGTGCCATATCTTCACAATATAATCAAAGCAAACAATGTCAAACAACAAAGCAAATTGAATACATTAGCAAGACATAACTAACGGAAGAGGGTCAAGGGAGAAAAGTTTTTGTAAAAAGTAACTAAACAACTAAACAAGTATGCACATAATGAAAGATACAACCAAGAATACCTACACAGTGAAAAAGTATCTTGAAATGTAAAATAGAGCCGCACAACACCAGGATGGTCCAGTTGATCGAGCACAATACGTTCCAACTTTACATAAGCTGTTTTATTTTCCTTGGTGATGAACTTTTTGTCCATAACCTTCAAAGCATACACCATTCCTGTATCCTTCTTCTTTGCCCTCACAACCTGATGACAATATTAATATGATATTCAGAACAAAACCAATGTGAAAAAGAAGCTCACATGAGAACTAGTGAAGATGAAGTGAATGTATACTAAGTAAATAATTCAATAAATATTTACCAATAAAATTCAAAAATATTACACAACCAAAAAATAATGATAATAATAAATAAGCTTCCATGTCTTTGTATTAATCAATCATCTAAAATTGTTAACTAAAAGTAAGGATGTCTATTTATCTGCATTATCAACGTACAGATATACTCCTAACTAACTAATGCATCAAGCAGCCATCACCACAGTACAAATTTTGTTTGCTTAGAAACATAATTTCATGCAATTAGCATGAAACATAATAAATAAATTTGTCCAGTTTGAATCATCCTTCTCACTCAACCATACTGGTAGTTTCTGTCTCAGTGCCTTTTCTGCTCTTATCCAGTATCTACCTTAATTTAAACTAAACCATCACCGTACATATCAGAAACTCCTTCATTCATACCTTTAATGTCTAGGACACGAATGAAGTGCTCAAATAACAGAAAGGAGTAGTTTAGACTAGCCTCACATTTTCAAAACTCAAAACAGAAGTTTCTAAAAAAGTGAAGATCAAAAGTGTTTGGTAATATGTGATTTAGATTCTGGGATGGTGGAAAAACAAAATAGCAAAAAAGGCAAAAGAGATAAACATCACAGAAATGAACCAAATAGATATTTTATATCAGTATGTTAATGTCAGTATCTATTAAAGAAAATAAAACAAAAAGAGGGCAACCTATTAAGACTTGATCTAGTAGTAAAAGGAAAAGCAGCCTGGAAGACGTAGGTTCAAATCCCCCACTGCACTTATGTGCAAGTTGAATCATTAACACTTTGCTAGGCATGACGATAAAAGGAGGACAGAGAGAAAATAAGTCGACAATCCAAGGGTAGTTATGATTCTCCCATTAGACCCTATAAAATTTTCCATCTATCCTCTTTCCAAGCATAGCCCAAATATCACGCATCTTCAAAGAGAAATAGTATTCATATTCTAGGAAACAGAAACAGAATCAGACATTGTTATTCAACAAAATTTTATGATCTTTTCTCCGCATCAAATTTCTAGAAACTACGCAAATTTATTCCCTTTCATTCAAATATATTATATCACCATTGAAAACCCACATAATTCACAAGGATAGATAATATTTATCCCAAAAATACACAATTCATCAAAAATCATCATTGCTCATCAAATTCATAAAGCTAAAACATGAATATATAAAACAATCAAACATAAAAAACAAAGCAAACGCAGATGCCAAAAATCCAAAATATATTTAAAAAAAAAAAAAAAACTAACCTTTGAGTAAGAACCCACACCATAGATCTTGCCCAATTCAAAATCCTGGATACTGAAACTTTCCTGAGGAGCTCTAAACGCAAAGCTCTTAGATCTCTGAATATTGTTGGAAGCACCATCATTAGAAGAATTATTAGAATTATTATTTTTATTATCATCGGTTTCCTGAATCCTAAGCTTTGAATCAAAATCCTTCTCCATTGCCAACATTTCTCTCTCAAAAATTCCCTACTTTCCCTTTTCCATCCTAATGATAATAATAATAATACAATCCTGGGAGAAGAACAGCTTTCTTTTTCTATTTTTGGCTCCAGTCAAAGAGGAAAAAAAAAGAATTCTTTTTTTATTGGGTTGGATTGGATCTTCTTTATATATTCTTCTGAAAAAGCAGGAAAAAGGGAAATGATTCTTTTCCTGTGTGTATATTACTATATTTTATAAAAACATTTAATTTTGTGCAAGTATAAATTTAAAAAATATACAAAAAAAAAAGGGAAAGATGAAATTGGGGGAAATGAGAAGGGGTGATCAGCTTTTAGGGAAATTCAAAACCCTAGAAAAGTAAAAGAATTGGGTGGGGAATTTTTGGAGAGGCTTGGGGATTGAGAGGGTTTTTTTTTTGCACATGGCATTCAATGATTCACATCACTCTCCTTCTATCTATTTTTCATTTTTTCTTTATTTGTTTATTTTTCTCTCTTGTGCATATAAATATGAAATTTTTTAAATTTTAAAAATATATATAAAGCAAAAGCTTCTGAACGATTGAGTTATGGGATAGCTGTTCAGTTGCAGCGGATCTTCGGAGTCAAACGACAAACAGGAACGTGCCACGTATCTAGCATGGAAGCCAGAGCAAGCCAAATTCGGCGTGTCTCTTGCTTCTCTTTCCACTATTTTTCTTTTCTTTCCCATTTTCGTGTGCAAAGTTAAATAAGTAATCACATATTTAAATAGATTTTATTTAAAAATTTTAATAATTAATGTAAATTAAATGAAAATTGTAATTATATTTTAATCTAGCTAATAAATTAAAAATTTTTATGCAAATTTTTAAAAATATTAGTTGATATCAAGATTTTTAAAGTATTTATTTATTTATAGATGAATTTATTAATTTTATTAAAAACAATATTCAAAAAAAATTTAGATGTTTTTCAAAGAATTTTCTTTTATTTTTTTTGTTTTTCGTTCATTGAGGATGCGAATTAGCCTTTGATTAATATCATATATACATATAGATATGATATATATATATATATCTATAAGTATAAGCTTCAAGGATTAATTTTTTAAAAAAAATTACATTAAAAAGATTAAACCTTTTTTAATTAGTGACATATTTAATTAGTATAAGTCTCAATTGAGAGAACTAAGTTTAAATCTTTTTCCACCCTTAAAAGGATTCCAGTAAAAATGTCTATAAGCAAGATTTAATATAGTTAAAATACTTTTTAAAAATATTTTTATATTTAATATATTATTTTGTAAAATTTTGTAATCTCAAGATTAAATAATATATTATATTTTAAATATAAAAAATAATATTGTTAGGTATGGTTGACGTTAGCATTTAGTTTCATAATTCTGTTGCCATTAGTGAGCAGTCGATAAAATTTTGAAAAAAAAAAACTATTATTTTTTAAAAATTACTTTTAAAATGTTTCATATATATTATTATTGAGAGCAGTAGGCCTCCAAACACATGGGCGGACACACGTTACGTGTTGCAATCTATGAGGGACAAGTGGGCTCCCGAGAATGCATAGGACAAGCCCATGTCTCAGCTAGTGGTCCAAACCAAAATTTTCTTTCGCCTTTCGATTGGGACCTGGAGTGAAGTCGACATGGACCCAAACTCCAGAGTTTAAAGATAAAGGATAAAACTAAAACAAAAACATAAAAAAATAAGCGAACGACAATTAATTAACTGACACTTGTCCAAAACACTAGAGCATAGAGATTTAATCAATCAATGTCAGATCTTCTGTCAACAAATTCACTTTATAAAATTAAAAAAAAATTTATCAAATACAATAATATTATATTTTTTTAATTTCACAAATAAAATTAAAATAATAATTCATATCTTTTATATATTTAAAAAATAATTTAAAATAAATAATATATATATATAATTATATTTATAAAATTAAAATTTTTCATTATTATTATATTAAATTATTTTCTAAAATTAAAAACAAATCACGACGAATAAAAACCACAAGAAATCTCCGAACAAAAATCCAAAATATTCAAACAACCATCACAAGGTCCCACCAATAGTCTCCATCCACCACATCAGCAGCCACCAGCGACCACTAAAAAGCAACTCCTCCACGAACTCCCGCAACCGATATAAAAAACCTGCAAAAATAAAAAATTAGTATCTAAACAACCGACCCGTGACACCAGCAAGATACAAGCCAAACAACTCCGCAAAAAAAAAAACAAAAGAAAAAGCGCCAAAGAACTATACTGCCTCTGCCACCCAAAGCCACCACCTACATACATTTCATAATTTAACCACCACCGAAAACACTACTTGAAACCATGTTTTCAACAAAAAGAAATCCCAAATTTTTAAAATCGAAAATTGCAATAAATAGAAAGAAAAAACAAAGTCAGCCACAATACCATAACTAAAAAGTAAAAAAACAAACAGCCAGAGAAAAAAAAAAGTGAGAGTATCCGATAACCAGAAAATGGATGAAAGGTGAAGTCTATAATGGAGGGATTTTTAGGGTTAGAAGTGCTTTGAGGGGAGTTTAGTTCGAGCTTTTCGGGAAGAGAAAGTTGAGAGGGAGGGCGGGCCATTTCGGGGTTGTAACGGTGGTTGTGGTAATACCGACGATGAGGAAGTTTAGAGAATTTGAAACAGCGGAAATGAAGGACTAGGATAGAAAAAAAAAAACATATTTTAGTTTCAACAGATTTGGAAGGCGATAAAAAGGGGTTTCAGCGGGTTAAAGATTCGATTTAAAGTTTTAGATCTAGTGAAATTTGAGGATTTTCTAAAAAAATCCACTCTGATGCAAGGATAGTGGAGGAAGAAAGGATTTGATGGGTGAAATTTGAATCGATTTCGACGCTGACTCATGACTAGAGCTGATGATTGGGATTGAGCCCACCTATAGACTGGGCCCAAACTACAACCACTTTGCTTTGCACCCTTTCTATAAAGTGGGTTGACCCATTAGTGGTATATTTCTACAAAACTCCCTTTTTTTTATTTGTTTATTTAATTTTTAAATTCAATGCATGCTTAAATTTTATTTTTAAATATATGTTTTAAATTTATTTGGATTATTTTAATTTTAATTGGTGATAATAAAATTGTTAATAATAATTAGGCAAACACTAAATAATTAAAAAAACTACAAATTTTATAAGTATGAAGTCAATTCACTTGCATCATTAACTATTACATTTTTTCTTGCATAATGTAAATCTGATAAAAAAAATGTGAGAATTATTAAAATAAATATGAAAAAAAATAAAAATTTTTGGGGATAAGTGAAAAGTTTTTTCATAATGTGAAATTATAAGAAAATCATATGTGATTTTTAAAAAAATTTTAAGTAAGAAAATATTTTAAAATTTTATAAAAAAAACTTTAAATAGATAAAAAGGAAATAAATTTGAATTAAATAAAAAATTAAATTTAAAATTTCTTAATAAAATATATTAAGTTCAACATCGGAAAATTTTTTTAAAAAAATTGAACTGTTTTTTTTAAATATTCTTAAAATAAATAAAAAATATAAAAGAGTTTCGCAATGAAGAGCGGATATATGCTCTAGTTTCTTAGTATTCCATGAGCTGATCTTACTGTTTTCTTGTTCCATTACTTGGAAGGAGAAAAAAATCAATACTTGAAAATTCAAAAAACCTTTTCTATTGAGTAAGAAAACCTGAAGATTAATGTACAACCTGATATTAAATGCATTGAAACTAAGTTCCCAATAAAAGTAAAAAGACCAACAATTCACAGCACGAGGGGACCCGGATTTACCGAGGATATGAACAAGGAGGAGGAAGGGATGAGGAGCTGCTCCTACAGCAATTGCTTTCGCTACAAATCCCAACCATCCTTCCGCCCATCAAATTCCCACCTCTGGCCAGTCAGACTACCATACATATTAGTAAATTTCATGAGACAGTCGCTTCTTATTTTGTAATGTAATTTTGTGTTTCGGCTGATTGCTGCACCGGAAAATTTCGATGTGTCAATTGCCCAAGCAGGTCTCACATATTCAACAGTTTTAGATGAGCTTGCATTTGCATACAAGAAATTCAGAAGAACGTCCTCGCAGTTAAAATAATTATCAACTACTTCTCTCCCTGCTTTAGCTTTCTCGCTCCAATACCTTTCAAAGGCTACTTGACTATCAATGAAAGCAGCCCCTGTAAGAATCATATTATACCCTTTATTCCTTCTGGCGTATTTCTCGCCCCTATACTTCAATCGGCTTCCATCAACAAACCGAGGGTAGAAACCCACAATTCTATCTGGATGTTGACGCCAAACCATAAATCCCCGCTCAACATCATCGCAGGGCATCATTATATCATCATCAAGCTCAAGAACTGCACGAGTCTTGATATATGGATCCATCTTGAATCGGTTATTGAGTGAGTTCTGATTCTCAACTCTGATCCTAACAGGCACTGCTGAGTCAAGATCACTCAACTTAGGGGGTATCCCTTTGTTCCAGACCACAACAATTTCTTTTACTGAAGCACACCTAGAATAATGCTTCACATACATTTTCAAATTCCAGAGACGAGCATCATATGTCATTGTTAATAACGTAAACTGAGAGTAGTGACCCTTCCATGAGTAAGGTTCTTCTGCACCATTGCCTCCACATATGAACTTAACCCCTGTGCAAGAAAGGGCAACTCCTACTAAAAATATCAGTACCAAAACTAATCTTCCAGTATAGGTGTTTGTTTTTATCCTGCCTCTTAGAAATGAAGGTACTCTATTCAAGCGACTGCAAAACTGCCTCACTTTTGACGAAAATACATTTGCTCTTTCCCAAGCCATAAGAGAATCACTTCTCTTCCCTGAGTAATCACCACACCAGTTAAGGGGGATAATGCAGTTCACTGCTCCTAGTAGAACACCCATTAACACAATGAGGCCAGCAACAGCTGCAACAGAAGCACAGCCAAGAAGAAAACGATGGACTGAGTCTCCTGAAGGTACTCGGTCCCCATCCATAACCCCAACCCATTCACCAGAACTGAGCTGCTGCACATCAAGGTGATGGTAGCGAGCGCCATTCCAGGTATTCCGACCCTTACTGGACTTTTCAAAGTGAAATGGGACTTCAACTTCCTTGTAATCAGCCCTTGTAAGAACTTCAACCTTGAAGATGCGCACCCGTCGCCCATAAGTTTCACCACAGTCTTGACCAATCCGATAAAGACTTCCATTATACCTAAATGGCCTGCCCCCATTACGAGCCCCCAAGCTTCTGTCAATATTATAAATAGGGTTCTTCTTGTGTGGTTTCCAAGGACCAAGCGGTGAGCTGCTATACCAAATTTCCAGCTGTCCATTCTTTATTCCAAAATTGCTGTGATCTGAACCAAAAAGCCAATACTCTCCATCATGATCAGTAATAAAGGAATCAATAAGGGGCTTTTTCATGATGACCCTATCCAGTTCCCACTTTAAGGGAAAGTTAATTGCTCGATACAGACGAAGTT